AAAAAAAAAAAAAAAAAAAACACCTCAAATTCTCATTCCCACCCCCACCCGCCAATCAAATCCGCCTTTATCCTTCTTCGGCAAGCCCTACCAGAAATAGCCACCACCGCCACTTTCGACCGACACTGCCCCCATCGCCACCACAACTCCCTTCACCACCATCCACTATTAGTGTCGGCATCCTCAATCTGTTAACCTTTCTAATTTCTAAAATTTCGTGTATTTTTTGTAACTGTGTGAACTGTGCTGAAATTTAGCATAATTAATCTTTAAAATTTATGCTAAAATTGAGACACTTGTTTATAGTTGATTATGAATGCTAACAAATCATCAATTTCAAGCACATCGAGGCCACCTATGGAAACCTCTCATCGGCCCATTCAACCCTACTTTCTCACCACCTGAACAAGATGAAGGCCATTGGGCAACTCTTTTTCATCAAGAACAATTACCTTAAGTCGAGGCATAAATGCCTAGCTGCGCCGTGGCCGTCCACTGAAGCCCGAGACACCTCTTCCACTCGGCACCGTTCTGTCTCTTCCTCATCCTCGCGGCTGCCCACCTAAATCACTGGATTAATGATCCGCTGCTTCCTCCAAAGTGAAAATCTGCTCCAAGCCTTGCTGCTTCTGGTAGGAAACGTGGGCGGCTGCTGAAGGCTACAAAAATCGGGGTTACATCGCCTTCTACTACTTTGATTGGCGGATGGGGTGGAAAGTGGAAGATGGGGTGTTTTTGGTTTTTTTTTCCTGATTTTGTTTGGTCTTTTACGATTTAAGTTACCATTTTACCCTTAATAAATTTGGTCAGTTTTGACTTCGTTTCTATCCATTTGGACTTCAGCCACATATTTTTGAAAGGTTTGAGATTGTGGGTGGCGCAAACTGAAGGTTTGGATAAAGTTCGCAAAAATTGAAAATGTTAGGAACCGCTGCTTCAGTTTTTCCTCTTGTAAATCTAAAATTTCTCTTATCATTCTTCTGTAGTTACAACAATATTCCTCTATTTACTTTGGAGAAATTGTAAAATTTTGAAGATATAGTAAATAAGTGATGATAATGAAAAACTTGATTATTCTATAAAGTTTGATCGGGTATTCTTTATGTTTAGCACGTTGATATTCTTAACTTGTGATATTTCAAGGATATATTATAAATCTCTAACTTGTTATGTGCGTAAAGTTGTTCAAAATAGTTAATTTTATGATACATACTAAGAGCCCGTTTGGTAGAGATTAAAATCGGATTAAAATTGAAAAAATAGCCGTTATTGTTGACTTTTATTAGACGAGTGGGGCCCAATAACGGTTATATTTTCAATTTTAATTGGATTTTAATCGGTACCAAACATGCTCTAAATACTAGGATTTGTACGTGAAAAGACAACATATCGTTACATTATATTTATGATTTGTTTGATCTCCTCATTTTAACTTATAAGTACCATGTAAAGAGCCAAACATGCAACTTATTTTTCTTTCTTAACAATGTTGCATAATTGGTGCAAAAAATGACAGAAAGATATTATTTTATATGTGCTTGTATAAGTCGAGTCAACATAATCCCAAATCTCCCTAAAGAGAGCGAGATAACCGAGCCCCAATTTAATTGATTGCACACTATTTCTCATGTTCATTATATTATTTTGTCATCTAATTGTGTTGTCCTTGACAATTTGAAGGAAGATCCAACCATTTTATTTTCCATTTTGTTGAATGTCGTCACCGATGACGTGTTTGGTGTACAATATTGTATAAAATTATAAAATACATAGATAATATACAATTTTTTACCCTTTTAATAATAAATAATATTCCTATTTTTACTTTGGATTTTAAATTTTTTACAAAATACAAGGAGAAATCATAACAAAATACAAGTAGAAATACTTTGTATTTTTTACAAAATACGAGGAGATATTATTTTATATCTTAATTATGTATATACAATTTTACTATTCGTTTAAACACTTAAAATGAAGAAGAAGAAATTTAAAAGAATATACAAAATAATAACTTATATGGGCGGAAAGATGAAATTCTTTCTGAATTAAAGCATAATATTTACCATGTACTATTATTATATGCTTATAATTTGCTGAAAATTAAGTAGGAAGTTTTCTAAAGTGATTCTACAAAATTAAGTTTGTCTAATGACAAGTATAAATACAAGAAACTGTTATTACAAACAAAAAAATCCTTTCTTTTTTCTTAATTTACCAATTTACTTATTGGATATTTCTTTATTAAATCGACTGGAATAATACGCCATTGGAAATAATTGTCCTTCATTCATGTACACATACGGGACTTCCAAATTGACCTAAACTGATTATAATCTCATATTCACAAACAAGGATGTCAATCTTATGCTAACTTACTTCTAATAAAATATATTTTATTTCATTCGACTCTAATTGTTCAGGATTAGTAACCCTAATTCTATTTCATCGAGAATAATTAATTCACATAAAGAAAAATAGACATACAAGAATATGTAACTTTATACAGATTCGTTTTAATGTGAGACTACGTCTTCTTCCATCGTTGTGGCAATTCACTATGATAAAAAAAGTTTACAAGAGAAAATTGCATACCTTATCTTTTTTTACTATTTTTTTTCGATCAGGGCGGACCGAGTGTGGGTCATGGTGGGGCACGTGGCCGATCAATTTTCTATATATATATTTAATAAAAGAGCAATGTTATGATAGTTTAGTAAATTGCATGTTTAGCCCTTGACATTTTCAAATTATGATGATTGTTACCTGAATTTCTATAATTTGTTCTCATTTCTTTTTGTGTTTATTAATTTTTATTTATATAAAACCCAAAGAATGAAAATAAAGCGACCTTCTCTCATCTTAAGTTAGATGCCCAAGAACATATTTGGAGTAGCCTAGCTTAAATCCAAATAAAAACTAACTTTTCACATGAGAAATTTAAATTAACGATCTTCCCGTTTTTGTTTCTTTTATACTCGAGGAGAGTAAACTAGGTTAGTCAGGAAATTATATTTTAAAAAAAAAAAGGTTACGTAAATAAACTAATTTGTGACTTAAAATTAAAATTAACTGGACTTTTAAAAATTATAGAAAATATTCATATCAATGCAAATTAATTGAAAAATATTGAATCTTTAATGAAAATTTGATTTTAGCAATGTTACTATCCAATTTATCTACTCACCGTTTCATTTTGCTATCCAAGAATTTCATCGAAAATAGAAATTGAAATTGAAATTCAAAATTAAAATTGTGTTTAACAATATTTCAGTAAATGAGCAAATGTAAGTTTTTATTCGTTATGTGAAGAATGGACATGTATTGGAACATTTTATTGATGTTAAGCACATTTTTGAGTTTGATTATAAATTTGATTGTGCCTCACTAATTCAAATGTCTGTGTCCATCATTGGTTGGGATGGTGACAGCTAGTGATGGCGTTGCGAGTTCATTTTGTCATCAAAATCTTAACACGTGTACCACTTGTACAAGTGTATCAAGTCATGTTCTAAAATGCGTGTAAATGCATCGCCTAGGCGCGACGCTCGGAGAAAAAGCTTCGAATTCGGGGTATGCGCGGAAAAATGTGTTTTTGTTCTAAAAGGCACCGCCTAGGCTCCCCTAATCCCGCCTATTTTTTGGTAAAAAATCTATTTTTTTATATAAAAATATATTTAATGTCTTAAAAATACGAAACGCATTATGACACTTATTCTTCTCATTAACACGTCTAAACTTGTGATTCTTGATTCTCGACCTCGACGCATCGCAACGCATTACACATTTTAGAACATTGGTATCAAGTAATGTGTTAGTCCCTTCTTTTTGGAGTAATCACAGTTGTCGGAATAATCATTTTTAGGGCCCAACCCGGAATGCTTGCAAAGTTGCTAGATTTATCCTCGTTCTAGTAGTAAATATTTATTCAAATTTTTTTTTCTTGAAGCACATGACGGTTGACCTAAAATTCCAATCTAGAAGTTGTTTGACAAAATTTTTGATAAAAAAATTAAACAGCTAAAAGTTGTTTGACAAAACTTTTGATAAAAATTTAAACAGATTTTGATGCCTTCAACGATTATTGCTTTAATAAATACCTTATTTCTGAGGATGCGACAAGAATCTTAAAATTGTGTTACTTTTTAATTTCGAATCGAGATGGAATTAAGTGGCATTAACTAATGGTCAAAATTCTAGATAAATAGCATTGATCTTTACCTTTTCATCAATTCCAAATTTCTTGAAATGCTATTATCAAACCTTAAAATCAAACCAAACCTTAAAACATTTTAGTACATTGTACGAGCCAAATTTGAATACTACGACGAATAAGATTTTTTAAATCTTTTTCTGGACTATCCACTTAAGCATCAAAGTATATATGCGACTTGATTGAGGCCATAACATAGTAGTATACTAGTATTTGCCAAGAAAATCACATTAGACATAACCAAATGGAACCAGAAAAATGCTAAGGAAAATCTCTGTATCTTTCGTTCACCGTAAACATGTTCTACTTTTATGCATCCCAAACAATCCCTCAGCTCACCATCATCTAACCTTTTGTTCAGTCCCGCCAAATTCCTCTTGTTTAAATATTCTAAATCCCAACGGTGACCTAAACCAAGAACAGGGTCTTGACGTGAAAATGAAATTTAAGGATTACTATTCTTTGTTAAAAGAATGCATAAAGAGAAGGGCTTTGGGAGAAGGCCAAGGGGTGCATGCCCACATTATTGGAACTTGTTATAACCCGCCAGAGTACCTTAGAACAAGGCTGATTGTGTTGTACATAAAGTGTGAGGTTTTGGGAGATGCAGTAAGAGTGTTTGATGAAATGCCTGAAAGGAATGTGGTTTCATGGACCGCAGTTATCTCAGGGTTTGCGAGAAGTGGGTGTCACTCTGAAGCTCTCAATCTTTTTGTTCAGATGTTGAGATCAGGTAGTCATCTGGGAATGATATGCAGAATGTTATTTCTTAGTGTTGGCTTGTATTTTACAATATCCAAGTTATTTCATATGAATATGCTATGAAGATGCTGCACTTTTAGATTAATGATTTATTTTGTTAGCTGGAGCTCTGTAATTCAAGGCCTCAAGAGCTAATATTCAGAGTGTCTATCTGCTGACTAATTGGGTGGAACCCCGCGTATTGGATGTGCCCATTGAATTGTAAGTCAGGAGTTAAATTACCTACTGTGAGGAATGATTTAAAATATAAAAGTAATCTCTTATCAAATGTGCCAAATTATATAAAGGGATAACTTGATTGGCTACATAAGAGACTGATGAGTATTTTTCAAATCATAACTGGATAGTGATAGTTCAGTTTTCCTTTTTCGTACCGGTATCCGCTGAATTAACTGGAATCTGGGGATATTAACTTTGCTCTAGTTAGAATTAAGTTACTCAGTAAAGAATTTATCCCAACTCTATTGAACTTGTCTCTATGGCTCTGGCCTCTTCACATGATGCATTTCGGATGATCCAATTCCAGGGTGTGAGGTAGTCAGCTAGTCGTTAATCTGTTTTTGGTATTTTCTGTTGCTGTAGATTAAATGTTGACCGAGCTCTGTAAGAACTATAGTAGGTTAGTTTGATATGAATATATGATAATGCTTTTGGGGAGTTCCCTAATGTTGTGGACAAACTCCTTTGCATTTGTATACTTTTTAATTTATTTAGAATTACCCTCCTATCCGTTGGTTGATTATTTTTTGGGTTCTATGAGTACTAATAACTTAGCCTTGAAATCTACAGTTTGATTGATATAGTTCTTTTCGTTATTTCTAACTTGTCTAGGTTCTTGCACGAGTTACAAAGATATATAGTTGTGTGTCTTGGTGCTTGCCATGGTCGCACGGTTTGAGAGTGCACTAATTGATTGGTGGTACTCTATTATCATGTGACATTACACTTAGTTCTACTTATCCTAAAACCTTTAGATTCCAAAGTATTCCTTCAAAGTCGTACATAAGTTTTCTCTCATTCATTATCTCATCAACTAATACTATGTTAGTAGTGAATAGCTTGTTAAGGGATAAATCCTGCATTGAATAAAGATGAAAACATAAACCAACATTTGAGATGAAATCTCAAGCCATAAGGCTCGTTTGGCATGACTTGCGAAAAGCCAAAAGAAGTTTTTGAGATCCAAAAGCTGTTTCTGAACTCGTTTGGCTAATTTTATGAAAGTGCTACTTCTAGTTAAAAGAGCTTTTAGAGGAAATTATTCTAATGTTTCTTTCTCTAAAAGTACTTTCAAAATAAGATGCTCTTTTATAAATAAGTTTTCAAATAAAATTTAAGATAATTTCCTCCAAAAGCTCTTCTACATGAAGTAAAAATCATGCTAAATGGGCCTTAATATTGTATTAAAACCTATAAAGCTCCATCAAGCAATTCGAGCCGATTAAGAGTCAAATGAGAACACAGTTCGATATGAGTTTGTTCAAATGAGCCACCATCTTGTGGGGACATGTTAATAGATAAATCTTACATTAAATGAGGATAAAAACATAGACCGACATATAATGATTTGTGCTACTCTTCTTAGCCCATGTTTGGTGGGCATTTTTTTGGAAAAATATTGTTTTGAATGGTGAATTTTTGGAGAATGTGTGGTTGCAAAAATTTTGAGTTTACGTGTAGAATATTTTATTGTGTGAATGTGTGGTTGAAAATGAGTACGTAGAAAAAAGATTTACGAAGGAATGAGAGACAAACAAGGGCTTAATAAGGTTGATCTTTTGAGATGAATCCTCAAGTCTTAATATAGCATACGCCAAGGGATCTGATCTTGATGACAAGTATCTTGTCCACGACTAAAATTAAAAGATCCTCACTTAGGGCGAAATAGTTGCAAACCTATAGCATGTCTTGGGATCTAACTTCTGGGTGCTCATTTTCCATTATACATAATATACACGTGTTCTTGTGTTTGTAGATCACCTATCTTGACAGCATTACCCACATAATATTTCAATAATCAGATGCAACTCGTGAAAATTCACCGATTTCTAGAAAATTTCACTCTCACACTCCAACTCCTTATTGGGTGCGTGGATATGCCACTAGAAGTTGAGTGCTTAGGTGTGGATACAACATCCAATGGCTACCTCTGTTGAAGAGTTTTTGACGCATGATGCTATAGAAGAATTATAGGAGAATGGGAATGGGGAAGCGAAGAAGAGGAAGAGAGGAAATTAATTTATATCAGATATCAATGTTGTTTTATTACAATGTAGAAGACCCCTTTATATAGGGTTTCAAAGATTCTATTCTAAGAAAGAAATTCTAATAAAAGCTATTAAATCAAACCATAATAATATTACCTATAATACGCATTAAAATTGGAAACTAAATATAGTAATATCCCTTCTAATATTGTGATCAATTTTACAAATATGTTTGGGTTAGTAAATGGATAGCTCAGTTATTGGTGTAAAGTGCTGGTGGTTTCTACTAGATTGTATTGTTTGATTTGGCTCTGAAGTGAGTGTGATCATAAGAATGCTATTCCTAGTGGTGACTAATGAATTTCGGGGTCTTTGCTATTCAAAATTTAGAGATTTCGAATTGCTTTAAGGCCATAAGGTTTTCACTGGGTTGTGTAAGGATGTTCTCAGGTATACTTTTTCTCTTCCAAGTTTCACCGTTGGAGGTGAGTGAAAGCCCACCCCACACCTCTTTTGCATGCCAGGGATTTCTCTAACTTGTAACCGTTGAAAAATGAAAAAAGAAATGGATCTGAGTTCATATGCATAATTAGGAAGTGATATTTAGTTATTTTGTTTGCAGGGTTACAATGGTAAAAAATTGAAGTTTGTCACTTGTTGCAAAACTATGACTTGATTATAGAGAGTTTGCCTGTGTTCTTAGAAGTATTCAAAATTTGTGGCAAACAAAAAGTCGGTTGAAAATTATGGTACAAAGGAAGTAGTCTACATGTCGTAGTTTATTCCTTGATTTGGACCTTGCACGTGCTTAATCCTAAACATTCATTAAATTAGTATAGTATTATATCCATTTACAAGTACGGTACATATTTTGGTGATTGTTAAGATGATAAAAACAGTAATAATGTTAATAATTATAATTAGATATGCATCTCAACTAATGGTTCATTTACACAGAAAATTTGATACATATTTCTTCGTTATAAAATTAAAATTATTTTCTAATAATGGTTAGAGCATGGTTGAGATTTGGTTAAGTGGTTTAATCATGATTGTGGTTGCGGCCACACTGAGACAAGAAGATCTTTGGTTTTATTGCTAGATCAATAGTGGACAGCCGAAAAGGGGACCAGTTCGTTCACAAATTGGGCCTACTAATTTAATCAATTGATATGCATCGCCGAAGGTTAAGATCTTTTCACAATAGAAAAATGATACATTTGGTGGGGTGGGGGGGGGTACCGAATTTTTTACCCCCCTCACAAAAGCGCAGGTCCCATTTGTTTTAAAAAATGTCGGCATGTGGTCCCCACCCCCTAATGTGAGTGGGGTGTAAAATATTTGGTAAAAAATTTGGTAAGTGTTTCGGAATAAGGTTTAAAATCAAAATTAGCATGTTATCGAAATTCAAATTTAGCCCCCGTTTGGCATCCATTTTTTTCTCATTCTTCATTTCAACCACACATTCTATCAATAAAATAATATTACACATAAAACTAAAAATTTTCCTTACTTTTTAACCACACATTCTTCCATCAATTACTATTCAAAAACACATTTTTCTATTAAAATGGGTGTCAAACACGCTCTTATTGTGATTTTGCCCCTATTTGGTGGAAATTAAAATCAAATTTTTAATAAATTTTGATAAAAATTAAACAGCTATGGATTCCATGAATATGCTATTAAAATTAATTGTTAACTAGGATTTAGATTAAAATTTAGATTTCAATCGATACAAAACATTACTTTATATATATAGAAAAAAATTCTCAAAGGTTGGAGGGTCACATGACCCCAGGACCCTGGGTCCGCCCCTGCTTGTATTTAAAGTCGTCGTCGGTAAAGCTTACATTCATGTGGAAAGAGATAGGTGAGTGGTTTTTATATTCTTGTGACTCATACTATTTGTGCCGTGTTAATGTCATGTCCAATTATTTTCCTTAATTACAAGTGACCACTTACTACTCGTCACCGTCATCTCGACCTATTTGACATAATTGTCATTACTTATTTGACTTAATTTTCTCCCATTAGAACCTATTTGCTAATTTAACAATACGTTATGGACCAATAGAACAAATTTACCTAAACTTGTCACACCACTTGCGAGCTCAACTTGTCTTGATTCGATCTACGAGCGGCTCGAACTTGTTTTGAGAGACGAGTCATGGATTGAGTTGAGCACACATTTTTTTACAAGTCGAGCGGGAGGTCCAAGAGTCGACTCGTTTGAGCTTGTGGGCACCAGATCACAATCCGGTTTATTTGGGCTTGTGTATTGCCCTTTTTTTACTTTTTCCGCTTTTGACTTTTACTTATTAATTNGACTTGTACTTATTAATTATATAAAAATTTCTCATTAGACCCATGAATCAAAGGTTTTAGCTTATCCTAAGATTTGGACATGAGACGAGCTCGACTGTCTATAGATCGGGCCAATTTGGCTTGCCCATGGCCACCACTACACTTATGTTACAAAAAGGAAAGTTAGCACGAATGGTCTCAAAATTATTTTCTTATTGCATAATATGTTCAAGCCTTTCAAAAATTGTGCAAATATTCCCAAATCTTTGCATTCTTGGCATAAATGATCGATTTAAATGAATTTCGTACAAAAGGATCCTCTATTTTGCTTGTGAAATGTAATTAGAAAAATACTCCTTGTATATAACTATTTACATAATATTTTATATCGAGACCCACATGAATTAAAAAATGAAAAAAATTCCCCCCTCCCCCTATTGTGGGGGATCTGTTAGGGAGGGTGTCAAACCCTCACCCCAACATTGTTCTTTCTGTAAGCCCAAGAATAACTAACCAGGGGGGTTGAATTGATTTTTAAAACTTTTTCAAATAATTAACTAGAATCATATAAATTAAAAACACGTTGATAGATTAATAATCGTAAGCAAGTTCAAGCAAGTAGATCAATCAAATAATAAGTGCAAATAAAAGAAGACAACTAAATACAAATAAGCAAGTAAGTGGAACAACGTAATTTGCACAAATATAAAAGCGATAAGTAAAATGGATAGAGAG